ATGAGCACGGCCCTGTCTACTTGGAGAAGCGCAGTGAAGAGAATGATTAACAAAGGTGATAGTTATGAGAAGATGAAGGCGAAAAATCCTTCGATCAGCGAAGATGACTACAAGGAGTGCAATATCAAGTGCGAGAGCAGCGCAACCATGGAATCAAGTCAGTGGGGGAAAGAAATGCGGGAGTTAAACTTAGGGGTCCACCAACTCGGTCCCGGCGGTTACAGAGTGGCTGAGCCTGTATGGGACAAGGAGGACGGGGAGCATGCCGAGCAAGGCCTACCGCCCCGCTTCGAGAAATACCGTGACAAGTAGACCAGGAACTATGTCAGGGCCCGGTACAAGGAGGACCCGGTAACACAGGAGCTTACCACGGATCCGAAGACCAAGGCGCTTGAGCGTGTTCTGGTAAGGAATACACCCCCGCATAATTAGCTCCATATGGTTGCATTCTAATTAATGAAGCCAAATTTCTAAAATAGTTCACATTCCTTCTGCAGGAGACTGAAAGCAGTAGCGCGGGATCGTATCAGAGCTCCCCTTGGGATAGCACTCTAAATAGGGCATTGAACGTAATGAAAAACAAGGATAAGCTCAGTAAGCCGTCGTCAGCTGGTCGTGTGGCCGGCAAAGGCTTGTCCAAAAAAAGATCGTCATACTATAACGCTGGTGGCCGAAAGGAGAGAAAGACCAGCTCGAAAAGCCAGTCGCGCGAGGTTCAAGAACTCAAGGCACAAGTGGCGCAGATTCCGGAGATTGTCCAAGAGCAAGTGCAACAACAACTGGGAACGACGCTCACCGCCATTGTGCCTACCTTGATTCAGGGGCTGACGATGTGGATTGCAGGCGGCCAACAGGGGCCGCCTCCGGTTCACAGCTTCACGGCTAGCAACTCGCACAATGCGTAGGCGACGCCATTGGTGTCTCCGGCGGAGGCGGTATTGGTGTCTCCGACGCCGGCACGGGCATTGGAGCTTAATGCACCCGGGTGTACGCCAGCCGGCACCTCGGCAGCAAGCGGCCCCTCCGTCAGTTGCACGCCCGCCGTTGGCGGTGCCTCGACATTAGCAGAGCTCGACGCCATCACGGTAGCTAAGCCTCTCGGTCGATGACTTCATCTCCTTGCCTTTGACTGGGCATCCCTGACGCCCTACATGTTTTCGCAGGGCGCCGCCGACGTTCCATGCACTCTCCTGCACTTCGTGGGTGGCGAGTTGATCGATGTCGCCAAGGGCAGAATTGTTCAATCGGGCAACCCCATGTTCCAAGGTAATCTGATGCCACCCACCGTGTATAGGGTTGAACTGGTTCGGGTGTTGCCAGGCTGCGACAAGTTGTTACCTCCAATTCGACCCGCTGGGGCCGACGAAGGTGATGTGATGACCCTCAGCGCCTGCGTAAGCTGGCCCCTGCTTTGGCCGAAGAGCCAGATTCGTTTGAGGGCGGGGGACACCACCCCAGAGACAACACCGCCAGTCGTGCCGGCGCCAAGCCATGGCAAGACCGCCAAAATGCTACCGGACATGCCGGACATCCCTATGGCACAGGATCTGGACATGCCTATGGCACAGGATCCGGACATTGACGACAACGACGACGGTACATTTACCAACGTCTATAAGTACTTTGCCGAACATGGGTACGGTAACGAACTCTTCGGGCCTCCTTCTCAAGAACCCAACCCTAAAAAAGACGATCGCGATCTAGCTGGTACCGCGGAGAAACCCAATTGCAATAGGCGTCATCTGGCGTTCAGTTCTCGGGAGACGCCTCCAGCTGCCACCTTCACCGAGCCTCAGATAGCCGAGGTGCAAAATATTATCAGCCCCAACACACTCAAGAAGGCGGTCTCTGAGCAGAACTCGATCCCATTACAGCAGATGAAGAAGAAGGGACGGAAACGAAAGAATAACAAGGGCGGTGCGAGCCAGCCGACACCGAGTACGATCCGTGCTCAGGACGGGCCACCTTCACCTAAGGATATCTCGAGGAGGGTGCATGTGGCGGGTAGGGCGATGCTACCGACTAATCTGCTCAATGCTGCAACCGGTGCTATGCGGAGTCTGCATGACAGTGTTCTTTCTTTGGAGAAGCGGCGTCTCTTCCAGAATGATGTGGCATACCCGGTTTTCATGGCCAAGATGCCAGAGGGCAAGGGCTTTGTGGATAGCGCCATCGAGGGTACGATCGTCTTGCGGTTTGATGACATCTTCGCTATGTTTAACCTTTATCCGCTGTACTACACCTTCGTTCGGCTATTTTTGTTGAGTATGGAGATGCGGATCATTAGAGACAAGACCCCGGACATCGTGATAGTCGACCCCTTCTACATGCGTGCCAAGATCTTGGCAGCGTTGGGGACCGGCAAGTCGCGAGTTCACACCTCGAAGGCGTCATTCTGGCAAACCCAGATAAGGATAACTTCCTCGTGCCTTACTTTCCCGAGTAAGTCATCCCCTCACCGCCCCGTAACATATGATTTCTTAGATTTCGATCGTTGTTTTTTTTCTAACATTCCGTGATTTGTGCAGTGACACACATTGCACACTCATCCTCTTAAGCCCGCAATATTCCATGGCCACGTATTTCGACTCGGACCGTGAGTCGAAGATAGACTACACAAATATCAAGAAAGTTCTTGATGATGCTCTCCCCAGCTACGCCAGATCTGGAGGCACCTTCAAGAGGCCAATTCATAGGTACGGCAAGCACGTGTTCACCCATAATACGACGTTCCCCTACGTCAAACAGCCGCCTGACGGTCAGAAGGATGCCTACTACGCCCTCCATCACATGCGGGCGATCGTACGGGACCATAATCACCTTCTGCTACCAAATAATCTCAAAGATTGGGCCACACGCTTGTCGGCAATTCAGGACGCGGACATCAGACAAGAATTCTTTCGCATCCAGTTGGAGTTTGCGGAAATCATCCATGAAGATGTTCTTCATACCTTGGGGCAGTTCTACCCCAGATCTCAACCGTCCAACAGTGAGATAGAAACAACCCTACAAATGCAGGCTGACAACGCCCGCGATTTCATGACCATCATGAAAGACGGCGGCTTCAACCACGCTCCAATCCCTGAGTCGAGTCGAAAGTAGTGATGCTATGTAGTTCTGAAATGTCGATTGGCTCATGTTGTAATATTAAACTTTAATGAACTTGTATGTCTCTTTGGTTTGGACAGTCGTTCAACTTATATGTAATCGATGCTATTTATCAGTAGGACCATGAATCGTGCTATTAATGTGTTGCTTTTCTCTTCCGATCCTTTTGTTGCATACTTATATATTGCTTATGTATTGTCTGTGAATTGCTACTAACGTTTTGTTTGGCTAGTGCATAGAGATGCCATTGTATGTCGTGTACAAGGTTTTGGTTTCCGGAGTCTACGACGACTGGGAGCAGTGTCGGAGACAGGTTCACTGTTTCAGCGGTAACAATTACAAAGGGTACACCACTAGGGCGGAGGCAGAAGTTAGATATGCGCTCTATCTAGCGGGAGAGAGGAGGGAGAGTTGGTGGAACCGGATGAAGACCAGTTTCATCGCGATTATGCTCATCGTTATGACCGCAACTCTCTTCTATGTGATGGTAATTTAGATGATCGATATCGACTTGTAATGTGAAGACAAACTCGCTACTCACGGTCTCGAGACTTGTAATGTTCTAACTTTGTTCGGTATTTTAAATTCGGAGACTAATATGATGAATTGTATTCGGAGACTAATCTTCTATTGTATTCGACAAATCTGCTGTTTATATGTTGTGCTCTCTATATTCTGTGCAGTAATATGTTTTGGAACCTATGCAAATATCAAAAAAAATCCCTAATATTCATCACCACTCAGCACTTTAGTGGCGCACTGCAAAAAGCACACTAGTGGCGCATCATCAATTAGTGCGCCATTAGTAAGCCAGAGCACATGGGTAAATATGGCCCCTGGGAGGCATACTAATGGCGCACCGTGGGATATACTAATGGCGCACTGTCTGGTGCGCCATTAGTAAAAAATTCTAATGGCGTGATGCTAGTGGCGCACCTGTAGTGCGCCATTAGTAGGCAAAACAGGTGCGCAACTAGCAGGCCTTTTCCTAGTAGTGCTGACGGCATCACCCGACACCAGCCTCGTCGCCTACTCCGACGCCGACTGGGATGGGTGTCCCGACACTCGGCGCTCCACTTCCGGCTACTGCGTCTACCTCGGGCCCTCTCTGATTTCGTGGTCGTTTAAACGACAACCCACAGTCTCACGATCGAGCGCCGAGGCTGAGTACAGGGCAGTGGCCAGCGCCGTTGCGGAGTGCTCCTGGCTATGACAGCTTCTTCAGGAGTTGCTATGTGAGGTTCCCAAGGCCACGCTTGTCTACTGCGACAACCTCTCCGCGGTCTACCTCGCTGCCAACCCTGTTCATCATTGCCGGACGAAGCATATTGAGCTTGACATTCACTTCGTTCGGGAGCATGTCGCACTTGGTCGTGTTCGAGTTTTGCATGTGCCCACCGATCAGCAGTTCGCCGATGTTATGACGAAGGGACTACCCACCTCGACTTTCGAGGGTTTTCGGTCCAGTATTTGCGTCACCGGCGACGCTTCGACTGCGGAGGGTGTTGAACATGTGTACACGTATGTAGGACCGTGTTTTGTATGCCGCACCTGCAGTGTCTCTCTCCCTCTGTATTTACTTGTATCTTGGGAGACAAGACATCGGTCGCACCCCTTGTACCTATATACATGCCTAGTGCACGATCAATGAGAATATCGATGCACACAATCCCTTCTACACTATCCATCTCTCGATCCAGCAATCCCCTATTCCCACTGCCACCTTCCACTACGCCAAGCTTTCACTAACCATTGCTCATACACGCTTGATCCCTTCAAGAGGCCACCTACCGGAGGAGGCCGCGTCGGTGCTATACTGCTCGCCTTTCATCACTTGAATTTTACACTCATTTTTCTACCTTTTTAGACCTAACAAGGAGATTAAACAAGAATTACAAATCTGGATGAATCAACTGCGTAGCTTGATCCTTGGAATGACGTAGCAGCGCGGTTGAGGATGACTCGGAGGAAGCAGTGGTGTTGCTGGTGCTGACCGAAGAAGAGCGAACGCAACCGGAGCCGGACCTATCGACGGAGAAAGACCCGTACGGGACGGACGATGCAAGACTCGGCGCAGCCCTGTACATGTGCTGCGGGAGCGCCGGCAGCCTCGCCTCGTCGGACTGCAGGACGTGCATGGCCTGCGCCACGGACGGCCGCTCGCTCTGGTCCGGCTGGGCGCACCAGAGCCCGACGACCAGCACCCGCTCCATCCACCGTTCGTCCGCCTCGTCGCCCCTCAACCGTTCGTCCACCGCGTCAAGGATCGCGTCCCTTCCATACAGACCCCACACCCAGCTGAGCAGCGTGAAGGACCTCTCCGCGGTCTCGATCACCGGCCACCGGCCGGAGGCAATCTCCAGGAGGACGACGCCGAAGCTGTACACGTCCGACTCTGTGCTGGGCCGGCGCGTGTTGACGAACTCTGGGTCGATGTAGCCGACGGTGCCGAGCACGGCCTTGGTGGTCTGTATTAACCCGGCGCCGTGGTCAATGAGCCGGGCCAACCCGAAGTCCCCAAGCTTGGTGTTGAGCGATGAGTCGAGCATGATGTTGCTGGGCTTGATGTCGCCGTGGATGATGCACTGCTCCCACTCTCCGTGGAGGTAGCGCAGCGCGGATCCCAAGCCAAGGATGATGTTGTACCTCTGTGGCCATGTCAGATAGCTGTCGTCGTTGCTGTAGAGGTGCCTGTCTAGGCTGCCCTCCGTGACGAGCTCGTAGACAAGGAGGAGCCCCTTGCAACTGTCGCACCAGCCCAACAGCTTCACAAGGTTGCCATGCTTCAGTCTGCTGATGATCCTCACCTCTGCCTCGAACTCCTTCCTCCCCTGGGACGACGAGTCTGCAGACAACACCTTCACTGCCACCTCACGACGGTCTTGGTCACCATCGATGGCACCTGCGAGTGTGAGTGTGACATGACCCCGGTAAACGCTCCCGAAACCGCCTCGCCCGAGCTTCTCGTCTTCCGCAAAATTGCTCGTTGCGGCGACAAGCTCGCGGTACATGTACCGTCTAGGGCCGCCGGCAGCCACACCTCTCTCGAGATCAGATCTGTCGATGCACTCTTCTTCACTGTCCTCGTTTGCTCTGCTATTGTTGTGTCGCCGCCATCCCAGCACCGCCGCCGCACAGACCAACAAAAAAAGCAAAGGAACTAAGATGGCTAGTAGGATTGGTACTAATATTTTGTGGTTGTTACTGCTGGTTGGAATTGGAAGAGGAGGTTCGGCAGGTGGAGCTGCTTCCTTCTTTGATTCAAGCGTGGAATTGAATGACCATGACAGTATCCGATGCAGCTCGGTTATGGCGCCTGTCGCCGCGGAGAAGCCGACGGCGACCTCCTCCGGTAAGTATCTGCTGAGATCGACGGTTGCGTTTACCTGGTACAGGGCATCGTCGATGCGGAGATCAACACCTAGCATCTTGGTGTCATTGTGGTACTTCACCGTGGCTTCCATAACATGGAGTGATGTGAGGTTCTTTCCCGGCCAGGTGGTCGTGTCCGTGGACGCCGTTGAGTTGAGGGAGTTGACGTCGATGCCGATATGGTTCCTGTTGATGTCGGCACATTCCGCATTGGGAAAAGTGTCAAACTCCACCGCGACTATCCGGCTGTCGCCTGTTCCGTCAGCATACCTGGGGAGGAGGGCTAGGCCGCCGCCCGCGCTGTTGTCCGGGATCTTGGAGGGGAAATGCCCGAGGAAGAAGGCCATCCCATCGCCTGTATAAGGCAGGCTGAGGTTGTCTGGAGTGATTCGGAAGGAGAAGGTGGTGGTGAAGCTAGCCATCTCGCCGGTGGCGTTGCTCCATAGCGCCACCCTTTGCGCGTACCATGCCCGGCCGACGCTGCTCTGAATATTTGCATCACGTGTATTCTTTGTCAGCTCTAGCCATAACGGGCTGATGAGGGCATCACCGGTGAGGTCGATGGACGAACCGTTGCTGGGGTCGGAGAAGTTGAGGTTGAAGGATAGTGAGAAGGCCTGGATCAGCGCATAGCAGAGGCATAGCAGCAACACCAAGACTAGGGTGGTAGGAGTAGGACGACTGCGAGAGCCCATGGCTTGGTGTTTGGGAAGGAGGAAGCTTGAGCACTATAAATGTTAAGGGAAGGGAATAGGTAGTCGTCACGGTCGAATTTGAACTGGTCTCCACGCGGAAGGAGAAAGTCAGTGCGTGGTAGCACATGAAAGGAACTAGAGAGCCAATGGTGTTGTTGTTGGATTTTTTTTTCTTATCCGGCCGAGCACCAAATGGTTGCACAGGACAAAAGTCACTAGCATATGCATAGACAGAGTTAAATGGTCGTTCAACAAACCGGTCGATGCACTCAACTTTCTTCTTGTTAACATATTCATCTTCTTTATATTTACTCAGGAGCGATGTCAGCCGGCGGCCGAGACTGGCAGCGACAGGCAGAAAGCACATAATCTCTATGACACCGTTCTTCGTTTTATACACGGCTACTTTTAGACGGCGGGTCTCCATCGAAGATTTTTTACGGTACATCATACTACCAAGTTTAAGGAGTAGCATTGAGTTGATCCAACGGCCAATATATATGTGATTCAACTTGGAGTTTAACTCGAGGACAGCTTAGTAATTTCCTATTAGACTGCCCCACGACCATGCCTCCTCCTGCTGCATAAACGGCTGCCGGTTGGTCTTCGCTCGCCCCGTCGCCCGCACTGCGCTGCTGTACAGTGTACACGATGAGCGCCGCTGTGTGCCTCGGCGGCCGCTAAGCAGGACACGGCATCGTTGTGTTCGTCGATTTCAAAGGTCTACACACATGTAGCTACCCTCCACTTTATAAGAACTGCACGAATTCTATGGAAAATCATATCTCCTGTAGCAGTTGCATCTACTCACGATCGATGCCTGCAAAAGAAGCAGATCACTGGCCAATATTCTTGGACGGGCGGACCTCTGTAGCCTGGAGCGGGAGAACGGATGAGCTGGTGAACAGAACGCTGCACACACGTCGGTGACTCGGTGTTCGTGCTTGACTGATGGGACTCGCGGCTCGACACTGTCTTCCTCAATCAGCCGTCAGGCTTGCTTGACGCGGAGGTGGTCAACGCCATGGCTGCCTTCCCGCAGTTCGCCAGCATCAAACAGGAACGTCGGCGAGGAGTGGTTCGGATGATTCATGATTGTGTAGTTCTGGAATTTAGGTGCCCCCTGCGCAGGTGCCATTAACATCTGACGCCCTTCCCAACTATTCTGTGACAGTGCGAGCAGGGAAAAGGAATAACCGCAGGACGAGCTCGCCATTTCCAGCATCTCTGAGGCGGACATCTTCGCCGGCCGGAGTGGACGAGGTTCATGGGAACCAGATCGTGATCAACCAGGATATTATGCATTCCCTTAACGATGGACACTTACGCATATATAAATTCCGTCAGAAAACTTAAATTCAGTCGAAGAATTGAATTTCCTAAAACACCCTTGATGCCTTAATATACTACACTAATTTTGGTGTAGTATAGCCCCATCTGGACCGCTCATTCATAAAAATAAATGCCCAGGATGATTAGTTGTAGCGTAAAAGGTCTCCGGATCACAAAACTTGTCAGAATCCAACGTATACGTCCTCACACTTGGGTCGGACAAGCCGAGGCACGTCGAAGTCAGAACACCAACAGTCTTGTCGGCTTCCATCGAATGGACGTTAGTGGAGGCGCTAATCCATTATCCACCAATCCAACACCGCGGCAGTCTACACTGGTGTCCTTCTCATGCCAAACAGATTACTGAAAATGGTGAAGACATTATTGTTTTTTGACACAAAAGCCGAATCAGTCCGGTGGATGCGTAATCCGGACCTACTAATTCAACCTAGTGTGTATCATGTGGGCAAGTTGCTCAACATGCAGGAAGCGCTAGCTTTCTCGGTTGTCACGTTGAGCAAACACCCCACATTTGATGTGTGGTGATGCAGGATTACGAGGCCAATATTTGGGCCTTCAAGTACCGGGTTGACCTACCGGCAGTGGAGAAATCACGGCAATTGAATTTAACCTCTCTGAAACGGAAAAGGAAGACACCACTTGATACAACAGTGAGTTGGTTCGATCAAATCGATATGTTCAACGACCGTGAGCTCTTGATCCAGTTTAATACTAACCATGTGTTACGCTGCGATAGTGACGGAAACGTCTTAGAAATGGTGAAGATTGGAAAGAAACAATATTGTATGGTTCTTAATAGTAGCGCATATGCTGTCATTTTTGCTAATAGCACATTGTGAACCTTTCTTCCATAGACTGATTGTTCCCAAACTGCTAAGTAGCACTTTCTCTATAGCTCCTGATGTCTCATCAAGTTTGTGCAAACATGTTTCTTGTCCCTTAATTAGCATAGATTTGTTTCTGTGATTGAAAAAAATCCTTGGCACTTTAGCGCCGTGTGTTGGGACTTGGCAGTACTGCCGGAGCGTAGGACGGCCTTTGTCTCGTGCCGTTTGTGTCCAGGGGTTTGGGTTTTGAGGCAGAAAGAAACTTGTTAAAGATGTGCAGTCCTGGAGCAAGACAGATATGATGGTTCTTGGTTCATTCTTCTCTATGTTCACATTTCTCATATTTTTTAGATAAAATATTTGTATCTCAAAGACCGACCATATTTCATTTCAATGCAACTAAATTATCGAAAGGAACGCCAAGCACTCGTAATAATTTACAGGTAGAAATAAATTGTTCTCACTTTCAATATAACAAGTTGTTTGTTAACCAACTAAAAAACTCTTGCAAAAAAAAAACCCAGCTAAAAAACAATATAAGTTGAATGGATCGCAGAGCTTCTGTTACCTTCGTGTGATTGTAGCCTTTTGTTTTCTGCTAAGACATTCTAATTCAGCTAAAAAACAAAAAAAAGATTGTAGCCTCTCGTTTTCCTCGCATCGCCATTAGTTCCATCTTCCACGGGTGGTCTGCGCGTGTGACATTGAAAAGCCGATCACCGCGGACCAGCACGCTGAAACTGCGCGCGCAGTTCGTTTCTTTCGTCCGATGCGGCAAAGCAATCGAGCCGGCGAACGCGAGCATGTCACGTACGCCGCCGTTGGCTGCTACCGCTGCAACTTGCCGGCCAATTGTGTATATGCTCGCGGGTTCGTGGAAGGGACAGCCCTAGCTAGAAGCGTGGAGCACCCGGCGATCGTCGGAACAGGGAGGATGTATACTGTTGTCGGAACAAGCACCCGGCGATCATCCACATGAGTCATGCCTTCTATTCAATGCTCAAATACTTCACATCTTGTTGGGAACTCACGTGGCCACACACAATGCGTCCATTGGATGAATACTTTTGCCTTGGACGAGGCCGTTTTGAACGTTCCACCTTCTCCAAATAATCATGATAATCATGCCACGCACCTTGATAGGGGTGTAGCGCCAAGTGGTTCGGCCGTCATTCTTTTTTTTCCTGATTTCAGAATATGCTCTTTCGAGGGTATATGCCAGATTTTCCTTATTGTATCCCACATAACTAACCTCACTACATATTTGTGTTGAAATATGAGATGGGCCTAGAGCCCATATGACAATTTCAGATTTAATCTCTAAGGGCCCATGTAGGTGGCATGACAAGGTGGTGCGAAGTTTAGTCCCACCATGCTAGTGGAAGAAGAGTTGGAGTGGTTTATAAGGGATTCTCTCCCTCATGCTATTGGAGCTTGAGAAGAAAAGAAGCCCTCGCGCACTCCTCCGCTCGCCGCGCGGGATTGAGCCGAGCCAAGCTCACTCCTATGCTCACTCCTATATATGTGGGGCGCTGCCAACCCTAGCCGCCGCGAAAACAAAACGCATCTCCGCCTCCACGCCCAATATGCGACCCTATCCAAAAGGAACTCGAAGGTCCCACCAAGGATAGACCCGCATATTGAAACGCTTTTGCAGAATACAACATCATCATACACAGGAGCATCATCCGACTACGGATGAAACACAAACAGAAACTCAAACGACATCCACCCTGCTAGCCCAGGCTGCCGACCTGGAACCTATCCCCTGATCGAAGAAGACGCAGAAGAAGAACTCCTAAACAAGCAAACATCGCTCTCGCGTCATGATCATCGCATAAACCTGTACCTGCAACTGTTGTTGTAGTAAACTGTGAGCCACGAGGATTCAGCAATCCCATTACCATGGGTATCAAGACTAGCAAAGCTTAATGAAAAGGAAGGGGTAAAGTGGTGAGGTTGTAGCAGCGGCTAAGCATATATGGTGGCTAACATACACAAATAAGAGCGAGAAGAGAGCAAGCGGAACGGTCGTGAAGCTAGGAATGATCAAGAGGTGATCCTGAACTCCTACTTATGTCAAACATAACCCAAAACCGTGTTCACTTCCCGGACTCCGCCGAAAAGAGACCATCACGGCTACACACTCGGTTGATGCGTTTTAATTCGGATCTGGTGTCAAGTTATCTACAACCGGACATTAACAAATTCCCATCTGCCCATAACCGCGGGCATGGCTTTCGAAAGTTTATACCCTGCAGGGGTGTCCCAACTTAGCCCATGATAAGCTCTTGCGATCAACGAAGGATATACCTTCTCCCAGGAAGACCCGATCAGACTCGGAATCCCGGTTTACAAGACATTTAGACAATGGTAAAACAAGACCGGCAAAGCCGCCCGATGCGCCGACAATCCCGATAGGAGCTGCACATATCTCGTTCTCAGGGCAACACCGAATGAGACAGGCTACGAGTAAAACCAGACCTCGAGTTGCCCCGAGGGGGGCCCGCAGGCGGCTCGGTTCGGACCAACACTTAGAGAAACACTGGCCCGGGGGGGGGGGCTAAAATGAAGATGACCCTTGGGTTAATTACTCCCAAGGGAAAGGTAGGTGGTAGTGAGGCAAATGGTAAAACCAAGGTTGGGCCTTGCTGGAGGAGTTTTATTCAAAGCGAACTATCAAGGGGGTCCCATAAATCACCCGACCGTGTAAGGAACGCAAAATACGGGAACATAACACCGGTATGACGGAAACTAGGGCGGCAAGAGTGGAACAAAACACCAGGCATAAGGCCGACTCATCCACCCTTTACCAAGTAT